AATGTAGGTCACTGGACTCATCTGCTAGATTAGACGAGGAAGTAGATTATCTTTCTGCATTTCTGCTTTTGTTTATCTACCTGATTTTTTTTTCCCAAAAACACACATTTAGTGGCACTACTTCTTTTTGATCCATTTCACGTTTTAATAGAATTATCAAGGGAAGCACCAACTATGTCTGTTTGTCTATGTATCTATAAATATAATTATTTAAAGTCTTATATAAAGTATGAAATATCCATGTAATCTAGTTTGTTGTCAATGTGAAGCGAGTCATTCTGTCTAATGTTTATAAAAAAAACTAATGGTTGCTATATATTTTATATATTTATATGTATATATATTTATATGTATATATATTTATATATATATATATTTATATATATATACATGAATGATCAACATGAGGAACAATCAAAAAACATTTGTCATTTGAAAATAACTAACTTTTACATGCAATATCGAAGCAGTTTATTTCTTAGTCCATGGACTCTGGCTGAGCATTGGTCTGGTTTAATGTTCATGATGACCTTCTGTAGGAACTCAAAAGGAGTACCTCATATTTTAGGGTATTCAAGGTTAAGGCAGTAGATGGCGTCCAGTAACATGGCAAAGCCAGTGGGTACATCTCTGATGTCATGTAGGATGATCTTCTCCTCCACTACCACAGCCACATTGAAGACATTAAAAGGGAATGCATCCTGCAGAGGGCCTTCATGTCCAATGAGCAGTCCAACTTCCATCCCTTTCATTATCATGTCAAGGGTTTCCCCATGAGCCTAAAGACAAAGACATACACATCTTAACTTCTCCAAGTTTAAGACATCCCTAACATTTTAATTAAGGCTATATCTGTATTTGAAGTGAGTGTGAGTGAGTGTTGAACAGTAATGGGGCTGAAAGGCTGTGTATCAACCAACAATAAATAAAAATGATTCCTGCAAATACAAAACTTGAATTAAAAAAAAAACTCTGGGAGATGAAACTAACAACATGTTGTACAGTGGGGTGATGGCAAGATTCCTCAGCAAGGCTATTTAGACAGTCCTTGATGTACTGCATTTTCCGTACTATACATCGCTCCGGAGCATAACTCGCATTAGTCAATGTGTCATGGAGAGGGAAAAAATTATATGTAAGGGGCTCTGGAGTAAAACTTGACTTACAGTCCAGAAAATACAGTAAATGCTTGCTGATGCAAACTTTTCATTACATTAGCTTTTAAATTCAAATTCAAAAATACTTTATCCCAAAGGGAAATTTAAATGTTTATGTAACTCATTTAATTAAGGAGTTAATTGATTAAGATTTCATTAGGATATAAAAAAAAAATGATTGCATGATTGTGTAGTAGGCTACATTTGTTTCTGTTGATTGTGTTACATGATAGTTATAAGTTAAGTCAAGTTGCATGTCCCCTAGTTTTGACTATATGCATTTGGCAGAGTGTAGTAGTACAGTACAGTATGTAAATTTAGGGTCTTACATCACACATCCTGATTACGTTGGAGGAGTCATCTGAAAAGTAGCATGGGACACCAAGAAGGGCCGCCGTTCTCTGGTTTTGGTTTGTGTCCTACCAAAACAGGTAATGTTATGTGAATGCTATACTAAAGCTTGAATCATAATCTTCATACAGACTGACAGAATACGTTTCTTATACAGTACACACCTCCTTTTGAAGACAATCCAGAATGCTGTTCAGGGCCAACCTCCTGCCCGATGCAGCAGCTGCTTTGTAAAGTTGTAGAAGACTGGGCATGAATGCATCAAGTCCACCAAAAAAGGATTCCAGCAGGTATTTGGTGACAGTTCTGCGGAACTCCGCAATTAGCTGAAGCAGATGGGTAACAAAATAGCACAGAAAAGGGCATGAGTGAAGGAGATATAAGAGAAGCATAGATCTGTGAGAACAGAAACTCAAAGAATTAAATTATTGCAACAAAGTATATGTTTTGACTATATGAGTACTAAAGTCACAAAACATAAGATTTTTATGCTGTATTCAGTTGCCAAAGGATTACCTGTTGCTCACTAAACAATGCAGGTTATCTGTCCTTGACAAGAGAGATAAGAGGTTCATCACCAATTATTTCTTGTCTCCGCTATTCTTCTTTGCCCATTTGAGGAGAACGCACAAAACTTACATTTCCACCTCATGAACTGGAAATCCTTGTTTACTTCTGTGAACAAAAATGATTTGCATGTTAAAAAATGAAACCCAGTTATTTATTTATATATTTTGTACATAAATTCTTCATAGCAGAGAGGGGTAAGCAGCGCCACTCAGACGGTGATTGACAGCTCTAAGACCCGCCTCCTGGCTCAATTTTTTCCACAGACTGTCATGACATAGTGACAGTTTCAACAAATATGTAATCAATATATATATATATATAAAAAAGTTGCATACTGCAGCTTTAATTCACTATTTCTGCAAGCTCCATCTGTCTATGCAAAAGATACTGGAGGGGCATCGAGAGCGGACGTCTCTGTTTAACAAGTGTTTGAAGAATGCGCTGTTCCATCTCTTGAGGAATTGGGATACATTTTACTCCTGTATATTATTTTAAAATGGCAGTCAGCATCTGCTCTGCTTTCTGCTGCATCCCGCTTTCATGCTGAAGTCCACCAAACATGCTCCACGCATGCGCGCGCACACAAGGGGGAAAAGGAAAAAAATGCGAGGGAAAAAAAAAAATGTTTGCAGAGTTTTTAAGTCTACTGCATGATCTGCACCAACACAAATTACCTGCTTTAAATCGGTTCATTTTACATTATGAAATGTATTATCCTAGTTACTGGTCAATACAAGCAGTAACCAAAGCATGAGCGCTGTGCCCCATTTGTGAAAAAGCTGTTTCATATTGAACATTCACAATAAGCTAACGCCATTTTATAGCCTTGACGGTTTGCTAACTAGCTAGCTCATGCTCCGGTGAATGCTTGAGAAACTGAGTGAATTTAGTAACACAAGAAAACAACGTGTATAACGGTCACATTAAAACACTGTACCGGTTATCTAATTCATAATATCGTTTTAAAAGCTGACCGAATACGTTTTAATCTGTCTAGCAAAGCGGCGGGGGTGTGGGGTATTAGCTGGTAGCCAAACCTGTAAAAAAAAATTTTTTCCCAGGCTATTAAAAGGCACAGTCTACATGGTTACTGTTTATTTATTTTTTTTTTTTTACATTACTGCACCGAAGGTTAATAGAAAAATATGGATATAGATTATTAAACTCACCTGGCACTAATGCTGCGTGAAGAATCCAATGGCACTGGTCCTCTTCGCGGGTACAGACAAGTGTATTGTTCCGCCTACTGTGACAGACAACTGTCAGAGAAATGTTCTTCTTCCGCTGGTGGAAGTAGTCCTTTAAAAATCATTTTTCCATTATCGTGAAATGTGTATATTTTGGATGAAATCTGATATAAGATTTATTTGCAGTGTAGAAAGTAATATTTCCGTTCTTCAGTGTTGCTTTGGTTTACGGAAGACAGGTTAACTCAAAAGTCATTGAAAATATATATATTTGTCTCTTTTGATACAATCCATCACTCCCTCCTTTTTTTCCCTCTTCTGTTTTAAATTGATGACTTACAAATGCAAGTTCAATCAAATCAGACAAATTCCCAAATATTCAACACAATGAATAACTTTAAGTTTTACTGCCCCGCCTTTTTTCCTTCCTTTTTTTTTTCCAACTTCTGACTTAAAGACTCAAGTTCAATCAACACATACACATCTGACAAATTTCTCTAATAGTCAACACAATGGATTGCTGTAAGTTTTACTTTGTAAAACTCATAACATAGAGTTAAAAATCTAAAAATTGTCAGAGCTCTTTGAGTTAAAGAAATGTAGTAAGTGGATTTAACTATATGAGGCTGCAATGTTTAACAGTGTAGCAACATGTTTTGTTTTTTTCTTTTGCTCCTGAAATCAACTTTTTCATCTACTCACGCATTTTTTAGCGTATATATAACCTCTTGGACCAACCTGACTCTCTTCTAGAGGTGAATCCTTAAATGTGGCTGCACTCTTTTTTTTTTTTCCCCCTTTGAAACACGTGTGTGCCATGACATTTGTTTCAGCACCAAGGACAGCTCCTTAACGGAGGACTAAGAATCTGTTGCTGTGCTTTCTTCTAATCTACCTAGCCTCCACATATTTTCAATTTTTAATAATGAACGCTAACTCTTACCTCATCATATAAACGGTTGACGGTCTGTCTGTCTGTCGTCTGTCTGCCTACTTGTCTGCCTGTATGTCTGCCTGTCTTTCTTATGAATTTAGAGAAAAGTTACGGTTCACTGTCTTGTTTTTGTTAAGTCATCTATTGTGCAATGTACCATCATTCTCTATTTGAAATGATTGACATCATAGTTACACATTTTAATAGTGTACTTTAATAAATAATGCCATAATGCCCTTTTCTAATGTATCACATTTTCCTCCTGTGCCCATCTCAGTGATTTGGTTTGTATCATTAAATACCGAAGACATGTGTGTGTGTGTG